GAACAACGAATGTTCGCTTTCCCGAGAGCGAAGCGCGTATTTGCCCTTTTCCCGCAAGTCTCATCTCAAAGAGGAATGAGCTCGGCTGGGTGGAAGAAAAATAGAATACGTATGCCGCCGAGGGGAAAGAATGATCATCCAGAACTTCATTAAACTGGCGCGACATGTACACAGCGGTCGGACTCGTGCTAAAAATAAGCGCGATATAATCAGCTGGTCCGCGATAGAGATAATCATCTTATATTTCTCGAAGCCGCACAAAAGCCCGAGAGGTCTCCGTTAAATTTATCATGAATGAAATAATGATATTTACATAGCTACACATCTTATATTTTATATCGATATAAATTTTCGATACGATTTAAATTTTAAGACAAACTCAAAAATTATAATTTAAATCTAAATAGAATAAATGTAGATATATATCAATTGTAAATTTTTCCCTATAAGATTACGATGTCTGATCACACGTTTACTTCACTACTGAACCGCCGAATCATGTAATAAATACCTGCTTATTCATCTTTAAAAGTTATAATTTTTATATTGTTTATTTAAAAGAACAAATTGCAATTAAATGTTTCTTGATTTAAGGATTAAGTTCTAATTTGATAAATAATTGTTTGGTAATAAGAATTATTTTTCTCTATATGAAAAATTTAATATTTTATTTTTTTATGTCGAGCAACTCTTTTTCTTGAATTTTATATTGTTACTTTTATCACAAAAATTTATGCCAAACATTACCGAATGCGAGAAAGAATGTGTGATGTATATCAAACTCTGAGTGCGAGTAATTGAGTAAGAATTACAAAATGTGTTGCGTGCGATGTGATCGTGAAATAGTAGTTATCGTAGAGTAAATGGTAAACGATGATCGTATCAAAAGTATCGCGTGAGATCGCAGAAGAAAAACAGAGATAGATACGAGTTTTGCGTGTAATGTATCTTTAAATATTTCAAAATAAAAAAGGAGAAAAAACTGGTTTTTTCAAGTTGAAAAGTGGTCCAATTAGTAAATAAATTTTTTAAGTCACATTGCGTAAAAGACGATGCTGTCTGGCTAAATAATCGCTTTCAAGATTACGCGAGTCTAATTACGACACTTAAGTCTGCCGTCTTATGGCGGCGGCATAGTTTCCCGTGACTAGGGCTCAGGAACTCGTTCACGCTTTCCCGATAATTCAAGCTTTCTATCGAACGGAACTTTCCACGGATCTACCAAGCGCCGGGATATCGGCACAAACATATATCAGGCATCCAGAATTTCCAGCACGAAGTACATCGGTTTTACTGCCTTCTATAAAATATACAGAGAGTTACACGGAACTCGCACACAAATTATGCCTTTCCCAGATTGAACTTTAATCGTTTATTAGCTGAATGTAGCTAATCCTATTAAAGTGGAAATTAAATTATGTAGAATGCAGCAATGGAAAACGCGTGGGGAACGTGGAAATTGAAATAAAATTTATGATTGGGTTGAGAATTTCCTAGAACGCATGCGATCTTTAACTCGGTTACCTCCTAAGTATCCTCTAAAGCTTGCCAAAGGAACTTAGGAACTAGACTATGCTATACCCTTCCACGCGCGATATAACATGCTTCTTCAATGATACCCATGAGAGAGAGACCGCCAGTATTAAACCGAACACACTCAAAAATGTAATTAAAGTTCAAAAGTTATTGAAAACTTAAATGTCATATCTCGGAGACGTCCCGATATTTCTTTTATTTCTTCAAACAGGTGACATAAAAATAAGTTTATCAGCTAGCTGATTAGCTGATGCTAATAGCGTGATAGTTTGCACATGCCACACATACTCACATACGCGCAACGTTGATCCGTAAATAACGCGCGCGTACTAGATTTTCAAAAATTTGGAAAAATACTGACGCAACGATGTGCGAGAAAAGTGAATCTTGCTTCCCGTTTCGTAGATGATTATGTTCATTACATATATATATATATATATATATATATATACTTGTGTAAAGTAGTGAGTCATATAAGATATAAAAGATTCTTATATGAAAATTATAGAATACTTGTTCATTCGTAAGCAATATTTTAGCTTAAGGATTAACAATTATTTAGTTTGCTATAAGTAATGATAAATTCAGCGAGTTACTAACTGCGCTACAAGGTGCGGAAATACGAATGCGTTAATATAAATAAATTTACAATTCCAAATTGATGCAGTAATTTATTTTATATTTGTTTTTTATTTGCACTTCAAAAGGTGTGGTCGTTTTATTATAATTATTTTTTTTTCATCATACTATATTTTGATTCATTTACTCATGAAAATATAAGGTAGCTTGATACGAAGATGGTCGATGGGTGCAAAATGAAACGTAACAGACGCAAAGTTGGAGAGAAGTAAAATAGGAGAGAAGTAGAATGGTGGAGATGTTATGAAGACAAATACAGTAAGATGAAGAAAAAGAGAGAGAGAGAGAGAGAGAGAGAGAGAGGCATGTGCTTGTAATCAACAGATATTACGTATTATTATTAATGTTTTCGGTACTGAAGAGTTTATACGTATGCTCATTTGGTTGTCGCCGAATATATATAATCTTGATATTCATGGATTAACATGTCGGCCAATACTGTTTTGCGCTTTTATACATGCGCTTATACATATATGCGCTGTCATATCGAAAGGTAATGAAGGCGTATAAAGGATGCTGTATTGTGTAATGCGGTTATCAAATCATTTCGTGTTTATGTCGCCGTCAATTTCAATCTGCGGCGTGCGTTTTCGTGTGCCGTCGATTATCGATGGAAAACGGCGGATGTATAGCATGAAACGTCGATCAGCTTCGCAACAAATCATCCATGTGTCCATGTATGTAAACATACATACGCACACGTATGCTAAAGATGAGGTATATATATTCGCGCAGCCTTTAAATTATTTTAACGCTACGCTACTGCTGCGTATTATTCTCGCTTGTTAGCGTCACGCGCATGCATCCGCCTAATTCTGAATTTTGCGAAAAATATTACCTGGTAGTCTTACCAGGTAAGTTTCGCTACTGGCTTCATCCGCGGCAACAACAAACCGGGATTAGTCTGGAAAATCATAGAACTGAGAAAATGAAAACGGACTCTTTTCCTATTACAATTAAAATTGACTGAAGTTACACATGTTTTTGTAAAATATAAGCTTTCTGTTAAAAAATTGCGTACCATTTTTATAATTTTATATTGTTTTATTTTTTAGGAGTAATTAAGTGCATTTTCGATTATGTGAGAATGTTATTGACTTTCCTTATTGCAATGATTTTGTTCAGTAATCTACGAGCCGTTATAAAGGAAAATATACAACTTTTAATCCTTTTATTGCAAATATTTGCCTTTAATTCTTCTATTGCAAAATATTTGCCTTTAATCCTTTTATTGCAAAATATTTGCCTGCTAGAAGACAGTTATTGTGAATAATTGATAGTTTCACAAGTATATTAATAAACAAAATATGTAATGGTGTTTTAAATGTGTTGCTTGGAAAGAAAAAGAGAAACGTTGAAAATACTATGATTATTATTATTTTACATTACGCCAACAGTTCAAATAACTAAAATAGTATTAAACTTGTGGAATTGATAGTAATTATATTATTGTAAAATATAAATATATATATTTATTTTCCTTTTTATTATATATTTCAAAAATTTGTTGTAAATATGAATATGGTATTAACCCAGTTTTACATTGCTCAAAATGTAGCAGAGTGTATGTTTAATCTCTCTGTTTCGGTGCATTGCATTTTCAATTTTAATATTATTATATTAATCTTTTAACTTATGATGCATGCTCCTACAAGACTTTAATGTTCTAATTTTATGAGTATCCTTTCTTTGGCATTAGAGGCCTCAAACAATAGCTGCTACTTCCATTACGAAAGCTAACAAACGGTTTTACAAATCTCTTAAATTTTAATTTTAAAGTTTGTTTTTTAAAAATTGCCTTTCTTATCATTCAGTATATAACTAATAAAAAATTTGTATTTATAAATTACACAGTGCTCTTGCCATACATGTAAAATGGAACTAAAACACTGATGATTGAACATTTTCAAACGTCTTTGATTGATAAAATTTATTTTTTTTTTAACGAAAATTTAATCGTACGTTGTTTTCTCATAATTTCTTAATTTTGCACATTCAATAATTTTATGGCTTTAAATTAAAATTTAAAAGATAATAATGCATGATGTTTGATGTTTCCGTTGAGAAAAAAAAGCAATACAAAATCAAATAAATTCCAATTCTAAGTACATTTCAATTTTAAGTAATTTTTAGTTTATTGAAAGATTCTTTTTCCCAGTAAGTTTTTCATTTAACGCAGTACTTCAAATTTTTCAAAATTTTTTATGATTAAGAAATATTTTTTACGGCAAGAAATATTAAGGATGAATTTGAAACACAGCAAAATAAATTTCAACTGTTTCATAGAGGCGTGTGAAACATAATTTGTTAAACCGTCCGTTAAATTGCTATGAAAAGGGTTGTAAAGGACGCGCGTTTCCTGTAATGGTTAATTAGCTCGACTTGAACGTGGATGCTTTCGATACGAGAGTACGTCTGAGAAATGAACGTGGAATGAGTGGTACAAGTCACATGACGCCTTTAACAGTTTTCTTTCTACTCGATTGAATTTCAATTAGATTATCATTACACTCACAAAAATATTCCGTCGACATACAAACAAACTTTTCTGTCGCATTAACATAATATTTGTCGTAAAATTATGTTTGTAATATAAATTACATTAAAATACGAATAACAAAACTAATAAAGAGTACACTCAACACACTTTCAATATATAGAATTCATTAAATAAACTGTTATATTTTTCACCTTACTAAAACATTTATTAATTTTATGCATCCATTAATTAAAATCAAATTCATTCAGTTTTATTATTTATGTCTTAAAAATAAATATTCTTAATTTAAAATTTATAAAGATATTTATTGTTGATATACACTTACGTGTGTCGTGTTTCTCTCTTTCTGGAATATATTAGCGACAGAAAACCACTCTTGGATTTCCAATTACCAGTACAATTGGGTGGAGAAATAAAGTGAGTAACGGATGTCGCGTTCTTCCGCCACGATAGAAGCACAACGAAAGCTCGCCTAGCATTCACGCTACGAGAGGCGGCATGCTACTGACCAAATCGTCCCCGTTTCACCCGCGAAACACCCCCATTACTAGGTCGACGGCAGCGCAGCCACGTGGAGGGTTGGACCACTATTGCAGATACGTTTTCGTATGTAGTTGGTACGTATTCGGAGTTGCTGATATGGAAACAGTTTGCAATCGCCTTGGGATTGCAACACATTTTTTCCTCGTTGTTCGCTTGACCGCGATATTAAGCACACGTTATGGAATACAGATGCAGTTTTTAGCAATTAGTCGCCCGGATTTAAATTTGTATTCTTCCAATTTAATTATACCGATAATGTTACATTTGTATTTATCAATCTCTAATATTTAATAATTTGAATTAAACAATCTTTTAAAAATTTGTTTGCATTTTATGCCACATATTTGTAATAAGATTGGCAATTACATTTTATAAGTGATATTGGTGCAACTTGTTTTTAAACAAAATTATGAAAATAAAGAAGACAGTTTTATAAATGTACATATATTTTAAATTTACTAATAATTTATCAAATAATTTAATCAATAGTTTCTATTTCACAATCAGAAAACATACGTGGCACAATTAAAGTCGTATGAAATCAGCAAATATTAAGATAATCTTGAAAAATTTTTGTATTATTTTAAAGAAACTGTGTAATCACTCTATTATATTTTACATACCATTATTCTTTTATTATTTATGTAATGGCTGTTAATAAATTGAATGCAATTTTAAAAGAACATAATATTCGAACGTTTATAAAAAAACTGTGAATATGGTTTTAACAAATGAAAACGGTTAGAATATAAAAATAATTTATCAATTCTCGATGAAAGCACAGGATTTATATGTGGAAAAAAAATAAAACAACGTTGGTGAGTACCGTGCGTATTTTTTTTTTTTTACATAGATCTCTTATATCCGGACGATTTATGACGCGTATTTCGGCTGCACTATTAAGCCGTCTCTAGCATAGCGCTTCTTACGATAAATGCACAACGATTTTACAAAACGCGCTGAAAGTCAGCGAATAACATTGGAAAAGGTCAAGGCGACCTTTTTTTAACGCTGAGACGATATGTGTAGGCGACAATTTTTATTCGCGCCCAATCAATGTGAAATGTAATTACGTCACTACTAATTTATGCTGCATTGCAAATTTCTATTGCGGTACTATCGATTATATTGACAATATTGTGATATATTCAATATTGCAAAGCGAAACTTTATCAATAACGCGTGTAGAGATGCAGGGTATGTAAACAATATTGCGTGACAATATTGATCGGATCCCGCATGTTTGCGGTAGCGTATATTATTTCGAATATTTTTTTCTGGCCTTCGACTCTGAAGTAGTTACTTGATAGATGTAAGTTAAATATTCTTTTGCAGGTCGTGAATTAAGGTGGTGGAAATAAATTTAATGGACACGAAACAGAAAATCAGATTCATTAAATGACGTTTTTGATGTGGAGCAACAGAGCAAACGCTGTAATTTATGAAATAGCTCCAAAAAGTGAACGGCTACTTTAAAGTGAATTATTTTGGCGAGTAAATTTCCGGAAAGTAATACACACATGCACTATCCATACAATTTTTTACTGTGCATCCCGTCTCATAAATCTATCCTAAAGCTTTAAAAATGAAGGCTACTGTAAAAAATAAACAAAACTTATAATCTTTTAGTGATTAAACTACGTGCAAATTCTAATTTCACTATAATATACGTGTAAAGGAATAAAGTAAAAATTGCATTCGATATACAGAAAGTTATAAACTCTTTTTGTTACAGTATTATGCTATTACTGGAAGTGTGTACGCTTGGAGAAACTAATTAAACAAACAATTCTAATTAATCCTGAAATTTCGCTGTTGGAAATTCAAGAGGGCTGAGTAACAGTAAATATGGAGTGTGGAAACCTCGAGAATTTATCGTAATTCGCTACACCACGTGTCTCTGGATGCGCCAAAATTTATTATAATTTTGCTTTACCTCAAGCACTAATTAGATTTATATCGTTTAAACCTCATCTTCCCAGTTTATAATTCATAAGATGATTTGTAATGCAAATAGGTCTTAGATGAATTAATTATTTATTGTGAATAATCAATATTCTCGAATCTATGCCAAATATTTAATTTAAAATTAATTTTACTTCAACGAGAATTTCATTAAGCATGATTTTTATTTAAAAATTCTAATGTTAAATATTTTATTTAGTAGTCCTTTAATTACCTAATATTCTGAAAATAAATTTTAAGTAAAATTTACTTAAAATGAAATAAAGAAAAAGCTTTTATTCCGTATTAAGAAATTTGAAATTTAATTTTTACACACGCACACAACGGCGTATATTGTTCATGACTTAAAAACTTTTGGTGCTTTGACATTTCTTTTAAGGAAAAATAATTAAAGAGAAATAAAAGACCATAATATAAAAAATTACGAAATAACGAAAATAACGATAATATATGAAATTATATAATTCATCATAGAGTTTATTTGGTATATTGATTGTATATTCTATCAGAATTGCTATTGGCCATTTCTTTTTTCTTTAGATATACACATTAGTTGATTGAAGTGATTGAAACGGTGGAACAATTTGATTTTGATGAAACCATCGTTTGCGGTTTTCAATTTGACAAAATATGCTTTCTTGTTATAAGAATCCAATTTCAGCATATGGCATTAAAGCGATGCGCAGAATAATCTTCCTCGTCAAATTATTTCAGCGCAATTTCTCATCATCGAATTAGTTTATCATAAAACTAGATTTTCTAAACGAGCAGCTGTAATTTCTGTACAAGAGAAAATGTATGTTCTGCAAGCCTGGTGTCTTAATATTCAAGAGAAGATAATGTAATTATTTGTTTTTAAAGATAACTGATATCTGGAGGAACGCGAAGTCGTTTATTATAAAAGTAAATGACTGATCACAGTAAAAATTTTGCTTGTGCTCGTGCAGTTATATATCACCGCAAAATATGACCGTGAGCTTGTGTAAGTTCAATTCTTGCAGGCTAGCACAGCAAATGATTTATAGTCGAAACGTGCAGGTGCGCAATGGCGGTTGTGTTTGCTATTGAGAAAGCTGTTTCTACATTAGTCTTGTTTTCGCGTATTCTGTGAGAATTTTCTGAAAGATTTTTGATCCTTAATCAAGGCCCAGTATATACTAACTCCCTACATCATTTTTAAATTTTAGCTAAGATTATGCTGAATATTACAAAAATAATTTTATTTGTAAAATATGCAGAACATTTAGTTGTTTTTTTTATACCTATTATGAATTATAAAGATTTGGATTGCGTATTTGAATGTTTCTTTCTATTTCTTTTCAGTTTTCTATGATAATCATTCATATGTGTAAAAGGACACATTTGTATGTTCTTTGAATCTATACATTTTGCGATTGAAAAGTAGAGTATATGCAGAGTGGTGCGTGAAAAACCGCATATCTAAAGCGAATATTTTCGGAAAGGAATTTTCCGAAATCGGAAATTCTATAGTAAATATTTATTTTTGTTTTAACACGGGAAATAATATATCTTTAATTATCAGGAAATAAATCTCAAATTATATTGTGCAAACTCTCTAAACTTTAGTCGGTTTTTTGCTTTTTGATTGAAAAGAGATTACAGGTATGAAGTTTTTGTGTATCAAAAATATATTAAATTACTCATTTTTATCATTAAAATTTTAATTATTTGATTTTGAAACTTTGGTTAAAATTTTATTAAAATTTTGATTGACATACAAATATGTATACATATTTATACTATTGTTCGAGATTGTTATGAATGTTCTTTGCATGCAATTGCAAAAGAGTTTTCGCTCAAAGGAGCTATTGTCTAATTTAATGGCTTGAGTTTTAGAAGTGTTTATTATTAACTACTAATGTCAGTTGTTAAATGAGCTAGATAGCCACAACAAAGAGATAGGAGGATACACTCGATTTTCTACAATGAATTACATTGTGTATCTCGGATGATACATACTGCTGATGAAATACTATTAAAGACCGATAGCCCCGAGTAAATTTTGGTGATTATTTTGTCCACAAAATGTAAAAGTATATAAATATTTGAGTGATAAGTTTGTTATGTAATATTAACTTTATCTATTATTTAAATATTTCAAAAATATTTAGATTCTACAGTTATCCTCGCGAGTAACTCGTTCAAGCATTGTCACACAAAAAGTCTTCTAAGACCATCGAGCTTTAAAAATAGTATCTTGTCCATGATTCTTTAACAAAATTAAATCGCTTTAAATTGTGCGATAATGGTGAAATTAACTTAGCAACAAATTATAATAACGTTGTGAGAAATGTCTGTAGTGAGATTTTTAAAAAAGCATTTTTTTAAACTTGAAGTCTCAGCTTTTTATTCTCGACACAATTTACAAGTTAATTATGCAATTTGACAAAAAAATTTAAATTTTCATATTATGTACAGAGCTAAAAAATAAAAGATTTTTATTTTTTGAGTTCTGCTTTAGAAAGCTTGAAGTCTTCTCTTTAAAATCCGTTTTTAAAAATTGAGCTATTATTTTTTTTTTATCAAGTTATCGCGATTTAAATGACCAATGGATTTTCATAGATTTTCATGGATCCGACGTATACTACGAATGTGTATTATATGTAATAAGTGTGATGTGTGTAATAATGGAAATTAAAGATAAATATACGCAAAATAAAGTATCTGAAAATATAATTACCACTTTGCCGACTTTTCACATGATAAACTTCGATGGAAAAAATGTCGCAAAATGCGTTTTGAAGAATTACCAAAGTGTAAATTTGTATCGAATTAAATTAAGCGATTAATAATTATCGAGCATCTTGTCGATGTATATACATATATGCGTAAGTGTTTCATGAAATAATTTTACGTTTGCGAAAAACTTGCTTAAATCTACCATCGCGTCGAAATAAAAATATCGCAATCCGATTATCTAGTATTTATTAATACACGCGGCTAAATTCTGTGATTGATGTAATATATCGCAATCTTAGAGTGAGAGGTTGATGCACAATTAAAAAAAAAAAACAGATAATTAAGACAGAATTAGAGAGTTCATTCCAGATATAAGCTTGCGTAAATGTTAATAAATATGAGCGCAATTGTGGATGTCGCTGCAATAATCATAACAATTGCGCGAGTGTTTCTGTACATTAATTTAATTTCCAATGCAGTAATATAACTAGAACACGTCGGCTATAACAATTTTAATAGTTTTTTCAACCATTTTGTATACGAAACATTATCAATTTCTGATGATTTCGATAAAGTATCCTGATCGTATCCATCCTGTACGGAATTTGTTATGAACGGTTCTGCTGCATCGTACTGAAATATAGATGATGTTAATCGATCGTCTTATTATAATAATATAAAAAAAAAACATGGAGCATTATACCATTTTACGTATTCGGTTATAATCTTTGTTGTAAATTCTTGGTCCGTTTCTGCGGTAAGCTGGAATTTGCGCAGTTCCATGTAGAATCAATCTAAATGCTCCAATTGTGCCATTATTCTGCTTCGGGCCTATCTGAAAGTGTGTAAATATACACAATCAAATATGCACGCGCGACAGATGCAACTGACTGATATATAGCTCATGACTCTCGATACGCAGAGAGGGAGAGAGAGGCAATTCGAAGCGATCGATTATCGATCAGCTGCATTAAACATTACAACGATCCGTGTATTTGCGATTGGCAAACTCGATGGGATAGAAGTGTTTGACATGTGAGGTACGTCATATTCCGTGAAAAAAGAGTTTGATTTTGAAAATTTACAATATTTTTATTTATGTGTAAATTATATAAATATGTAAATTTATATGTTGTATCAGTCTTTTAAAACCCCCTGGGTTAAATAATTTAAGACATTTGATGGAAAAAAGAACAAACCCCGGTATTCTCGTATTCTACCGTATCACTTCCTCTTTTGAGTTTGTGTATCTTTTTTCTACCAATACATTAAATATATATGCCCCATGAAACATATCGTATATCCACTTCTCTCTAGGGCAAAATGCTTTTATTCTAATATAAAATTCTTTCACGAAAATTTATATTTTGTCAAAGAATTAATTGAATTTTTTTTATTGTGCTCAGACTTATACTCTGATATTTTTCTATTAACTTTTATCAACTAACAATCAACATCGCAGTATGATTTTGTTAGAAGCGACGAAAAAGATTATAGATGATTATACATTATTTTTGCACATGTTGCTGCAGGCTCGATAATAGCAAAGTTTGCGAAAGGCGTTTTCAAAGTCTTACTTCGTCAAATATTTCTAAGGTCCACCTTCCTCGAGGGTCTTCGCCCCACGTCGCAACGGACATGAATTTCCACTTTGTAAAACCAGCGTTGGAATTATCCAGCCTTCTTGGACTTAGGATTTGGACTAAGTTTCCTAAGAAGTGGAACACAGAATTTGCATCAGTGTCATTTTCAGATTATTTTCATCATAATGTTTCATCTGTGTATATTTTATAAATATAGTATTTTTCGTGATTTTGTAAGAAATTTGGTTCAGTTGGTCAGCACATACACATATACATATATTCTAGATAATGAAATAAAATGTGCAATCGGTTTTATATCACGCAAGTATTAATTACAATTGCGTGCGAGCGTTATTGATTTTTTTTTATAAGCATGCGTAGCAAGCGTGTAATTTTGAATAACATCACAATACACACCACCTATTTAGTACAAGATTTTGTAAAATAAAAGAGAATCTTACTTTTGTCTTTTCAAGTAAATTTTTGTTATAATAAATCTCACTTTATTTTAAAATCCATTTAAAAATAGTATTCGATAAACTTCCCTTCGCGTTTCAAACTATAATATTCTTCTCTCGTATGATTCACAAAAGCTGCAATACTTTATTGATATTGCTTGGAACGGAAAGTGCTTTCAATGAAATATTTTTAGTAAAAATCTACGAATAAAAACAAGGAAGGATAAATCCCCAAGCACCAGTATTGTTGCATTAGATGCGCACGAATGCTTTTACTCATCATTCTTTTCTTGCGTTTCAACGCGTTTCGGATTTCTTTCTATATTTCAATGCAAGTACCGTCATCTGTCAATAATAATATCAATCGACAAACGTTCACGGAATTAAATAACACGACGTATCAGCCAAAGTGATGATTGGAATCTATACGTTTGTATTTATTTCTGACGTATCACTCCATTTGATATACAGTTAAATACTTTTTCTTTTAACGGTACGTTTTATACATTTCTAAGTATTTTATAATGTGTTAAATAATATTCTATAATTTTTATTCAACAACAAATTCCATTTCTATCGAATACTATTCCTCTTCGGATAAACAAGCTTCATCGAAGTAGCATTAAATTGAATTTCCAGCTATAAATTGAACTAAGAACGTATTTGTGCAGTTAAATGCGTTTGCTGTGCGACACAAGAACGTGACTTGCAATATTAATGGTGGCATTAGTTCTGTTGGAATTATCTCTTCGT